AAGCCAATTTTTTTGGGCAAAAATTTGATGGGGCAAGGAAAATAAATTGTCTCAAGTTGAGGTTTGCAAGAGTACACCATGGTGGAAATGAAGACAAACTGAGTTAGGGATAGAATGAAGACTGCTCACACAATCATTCTCATCACAAATCAATATTCTGTACATTGAATTTAAGCATGTTGAAGAATCCAAGATCAAGAATCAAAAATTGAAGATTCCAGAATCAAGAGTCATCAAGGCTGATAACCAGAGATTGAGATTTCTCTTTAAGTCCTAAAATAACATATCTCACATATACATTTTAGGCACACAAAAGAGCTTTGCATCCATATCATCACATATGTGCATAATCTTGCAGATTCATGCTAGAGTCAATTTCAACTTCGCAGCAAATGATATTGGACTCGAAGCGATATAATATTCTCGATTGGATTTCAAATTCACAATGAAGGATATCCAACTCAAAGCCAATTTGGTGAAGCACTACTTGGATTTCAACTTCACAATGAAGGATATCCAACTCAAAGCCAATTTGGCGAAACAACACAAGATTGGATTTTAACTTCACAATGAAGGATATCCAATTCAAAGCTTAACTTCACAGCGAAGGGGCTTTCCAGTTTCATTCAGAGCCAATTTCAACTTCCCGCGAAGGATATTGGACTCGAAATATCCACGATTTCAACTCCACGACGAAGGATATCGTTCTCATAAACAACATTGGATTTCAACTTCACAGTGAAGGATATCCAATTCAAAGCTCAACTTCACAGCGAAGGGGTTTCCCAGTTTCATTCAGAGCTAATTTCAACTTCACGGTGAAGGATATTGGACTCGAAACATCCAATATTTTAACTTCACGACGAAGGATATCATGCCCACAAGCAACAATACAAGATTGGATTTCAACTTCACAACGAATGATATACAATTCAAAGCTCAACTTCATAACAAATGAGCCATTCACGATTTCAACTTCACGACGAATGATATCGTACCCAAAAGATTGACCCAGCTTCATGACGAATGAGTCATCTGCAACACAACAATAAAAAACCAGTTTCATTCAGAGTCAATTTCAACTTCACAGTGAAAGATATTGAACTCGAAAGTGATGTAATTTACAAGATTAAATTTTAACTTCACAAAGAAGGACATCCAATTCGAGGCTCAACTTTACGACGAATGAGCCACCCACGATTTCAACTTCACGAAGAAGGATATCGTGCCTAATGGATCGACTTAGTGTCACAACAAATATTGTCATCCACCGACTAGATTTCCTCATCACGTATGAACCATGTCATCCCTCGACTAGGTCTCCTCATCACGTAGGAACCATGTCATCCCTTGACTAGGTCTCCTTATTACGTAGGAACTATGTCATCCCTCGACTAGGTATCCTCATCACGTAGGAAATGTGTCATCATCTTTTAGATAACTAGTCATCCTCATCACGTAGGATCCATGTTATCATCCTTATATGACCCAAACTCTTCAGCACGCCCAGAAATGAAGCCATTACAAGAAGCCTAAACGATGGCCCAATGCACAACTCACATGGAAAACCCATCAGGTTTTTGCTTCAGCTCCAGTAGCCCATCAGGACCCAACTGATCCAAAATTGACCAGTCTTCATCAACGAGAAGGAACAATGTCATCTTCAACAAATAATTTACTTGAAAGCGGCCATATCTCTTCAACGTAAATGAGCAGTGCTATTTTTAGCATCAAAATTACCTCCAAGAAGAATGTCGTCAACAAAAAATGATTATTCGAAGAAAGGGGAGCCGATCAAAGAAGAGTTTGCTCAACCTCAACTGATGCCTTTAAAGAAGAGTGAATAGTTCATAATAAGAAGAATTCGGAGCTCGAGACTTATTAACAGTCCAAAAATTGTTGTTTTATTTCTTTGCTCTATTTCTGTTTCACAATAATGAGCAAAGAGGGGCAGCTGTAAACACCAATTTTTGGCCATTTCCCACACCCCACTCCATCATCAATCCACTGAAATCTGCCAAATAAACACCAAATTCGAAAACAAGTTACCTAATCCTACCTACCCCAAATCATCCACATAAACCATTAAGATCCACCAATCACGCATGAAAAGGAAATAAAAGAGAGAACCAGATTCGGCACCGGGGGATTATTCGAGGATTCGGAGAGGGGTCTCGAAGGGAAAGAAAAGAAGAGAGTATTCGAATAACGGGGTCTCGAACAAGAGGAAAATAGAGAGAAATAGATCATATCTGGGTTTGTAACTCATCGGGAAATCAAAGGGGGTTACTGGATTTCCAAATGTTCAAGAGGTAATATTTAAATCTATGGTTAAGGAATGGTTTTATGCTAAAACTAAGGTGAGATTTGGGTTAAGGGTAAAGAGGCGTTTCATTTGGGGTATTCGACTCATTCCGACCGTCGTGCTCCACCGTCAGAACTGAGACAAATGAGGGTGAATGTCCATTTTTGGCCTAAAATTACATATATATATTGGGCATAAAACAACATCATATTAAGAGGGACCTGGGTTGTGTTTTAGCGTATGGTTTAATTATATTTTGACTTCATAGTAACTTTGTATTACTTCATTTTAGTCACCAATGAATTTCCAGTTTTTTTTTTACTTAAATCTCTTTATTTATTTATATTTTATTTTAGCCCTCTATTTATCATTAAATACGTTTATGTTCATATTCACACATGAGTAACTGTATTTTAACTTATTTGGTTATAAGCATCATAAGTTTTTACTATTTCATTTTAACCATCTTGTTCATGTTATTGAATATTTATGAGTTTCTGTTTTAGGCATGGCATTTTATTTATTTATTTATTTTTATTTTGGTCTTGTATTTTGCTTTGGGAATTAATTTCTATTTTAGTATATAATGTTTACATAGTAATTAGACTTTATGTTTGTTTATTATTATGTCCCTAAATTTTTTGCTTTTGCCATTTTAGTCTTTAAATTTTAGTTTGTAATATTTGATCCTTAAAATTTTTGTTTTTATCTATTTTAGTCTTTATAAATTTAAATATTTATTTTTGTTATTTGTATTTAGGTTTGTAATATTTATTTGTTTTCATTTCAGTCCTTTGAATTTCCTCCTTTAAATTAATTAATTCGAAGCAAATTAATGTTCAATAATTGGATCATATTTTAACTTTATATTTGATTCAGGATTTCCACCATTACGACAACATGTAAGCGACACAGTACCAATTTTGGGCGTTGTGGGGGTGTTAATCCTTCCCCACACGTAATTGACTCTGAACCCGTTTTAATCGAATCTTTGGTAAACGCATACCAGCTTTTGTCTTAAAAAAATAATTTTTCTTAAAATTGTTTTTAAAAGACGTTTTTAGGTATTCGACCTACCTAATCCAAAGGTCGATGGAGACTCTATCCAATTTAATTCAAAATCACCAATTTTCCAAAATTAAAGTTGTAACTGTTTTTAAAACAATAAATAATTGATCCACCTAAAAAACAGTTATAACAACCTGATCGCTAAGGCTTGCAAAAGAGCAGGCCATTAAACTCTTTGAACAATCCCAAAGTCCACTATGTGAATCTTGCTTGCCAGCTCCGTTGCTTTGAGAATCGCTTGATTTATCGTTAACTAGAGGAGTTGCTTGACTGGCTTGGGGGCTGCTTGCTTTGACTTCTTCAATGGTAACTTGAGGAGCTGGAGCTGGAGCTGGAGGAGATGGGGACAACGTAGGTAGCTGAGGCTGAGGTTGACGAATAGAGCTAAGATTTTCGTTGATTCTCTAAGCGGAAAGTTTATTCCATAGGGGAATGATATACTAGCATTGTAGTTTAGAGAGAGTGTGAGCTAGAGAGGAAATTGGGGGTTTTAGAAGTGAGGGAAACGAAGGAGAGGAGCAAGAGAGTTGGGACTGAAGAGGAAATCAGGGACACGGTAGATGGATTGAAAGGTATATCTGTACCAATTAAGAGAGTGACATATTCCACTCTCTTATTGGTAAAAAATTCTAAAAAATATTATTTTTTTCAACTAAAAAATCTGACGTGTCGATTCCACGTCAGTATACTTTAGTGGTGTGGACACGCCACATCATGATTTGTGTATACATGTGCTTGCTTAGTCTGCTGGAGACGTTAACCTTCAGTTGACTAACAGTTTCCATCGAATGTTGTGACTTTTGAATCAAAATGAAACGTTAAGGAGTCAAATGTTCCAAAAAAAATACGGGCAAATGTGACACTACTGTCAAATGTTAGGGTTATTTTATTGCATTATGCCAATTATTATTTAGATATCTATTATTTTTTTATGTATTTTAGGCAAAATAATTATAAAAATTGTTAATTGATTAATAATGAATATTTATTTATTGTAATAAAATTTATGTGCTTAAAATAATGATGTGACATGTTTTATATTTTCATTTTAAACGAATAATAATATTACATCATTATTTTAAGTACGTATCATGTGCTACATCATCACTTTAAACATATGACAATGTTTTGATATTATTTTTGAACATGTGATGTCATGTTATCACTTGGAGACATGATATATGTCGTGTTATTATTTTGGACATATGTCATATCATCATTTTAAATATTATTATTTCATTTAATTATTTTAAATATTTATCTTGTAGTCTATCATCACTTTAGATATATAAGATTTATTACATCAACAATAGATGTTAAACGTCAGTTAACGAACAATTTTTATCTAATCATAAGATATTTTACTGTAAAATAAAATATTATAGTACTTAGAAAAATAATTATTTAATAAAACATTATAGATATATATATATATTTTATTTTTTACATTGTATCTAAAACAAATCCGTACCAATTAATATTTGTGTCAAATTAAAATAAAGAGATTAAATTATAAGTCTCTAACATAAAGTGAAGGGACTAAAACCAGAATTAGACCAATTAGCTATCAAGATTGCTAGGTCAACCTCGACGGAGGTTGGAGAAGATCGTGAATCAGAACACAAAGGAACAGAGAGGGGAATAATAATAAGGCTCTGAACCGTTCCTTGGCTGAATCTTTGCCTAAATTTATCAGCTAAGCGAGATGGGATTGAGCAAGAAAGACAAGAAAAACAGCTCCACTTCAACATCTCCTTGTGCCCATCTCCGATCTGCTTACCACAATTGCTTCAACAAGTCAGTTCATCGCTTTCTTCTTCCTTTTTCACTTCAATTACCCCGCCTCTCTCTAAATCCCTACCTCTTCCTCTCATTTTCAGGTGGTACTCTGAGAAATTCGTAAATGGTATGTGGGATAAAGAGGAATGCGTTTCCGAGTGGCAAAAGTACAGAGATTGTCTCTCTGTAAAACCCCATCTCACCCTTTTTCTTTTCCATTTGGAATAACTTAGTTTCTTCTTGTTTGATTGATTGGGTTTTCTTTTTGTTTGTTAGGAACATCTGGATAACAAGCATCTAAGTCGGTTCTTGGAAGCTGAAGCTGCTTTTGGTTCCATTTTTCAAGAGAGCAGGGAAAACCCAGTTGATAATACTGCTAAATAGTGTAGAAACAGGTGAAGAAGCTAAGTCGTTCCTTTTACCTGCATTGTTATTATTTGGAATTTGATTTGATCATGTTCTAGAAGCATTGGGATTTACCTAGCTTATTTTGTAGGAGATTGAGTCATATTGTTTTTTAGGAGATTTTTACTACTAGAACATGGATGTAATCTGAATAGGATCACTAAATCGACTATTTGTATAGTATATGTAATCTGAATATAAAAGCATGCAACTCGTTTCGATCCTTACCACCTTAAACCGATTCGTTATTCATGTGGGTTTATATCATGGAAAGCTCTACGAATCATGCTATTGTCATCGGTACATTACTTCCGTGAACTGAGCATTATGGACTCCATTTTAGTAGTAGTAAAGTATTGCATCTTGTGCCCCCTGCTACACTGTTGTTCTGAAACTGCCAGAGTTCAGTTTTACATTTTGTGGACAAGTACTTAATTTCTTTCTGTTCTCCAAACTATTGTGTCATTTTAAAATAAGATAGAAAAAGCATGTCGTTCATTATCTCATTTCCATCCTATATACTTGAGATGTTGATTTAAGTGATGGTCTGCATCCGAAAGCATCAGGGAATTCTGGAAAATAGTGTTCGGAATCCGGTTTCTATTTTCCACCAGGCATTGCATTCCTTCAATGTTGTAGTTTCTAAGTGGATCACCTGTGAGCGCTATCACGATGATCTTACCCGAGTGGTAACTGTATCTGATTCCTATTTTCCACCAGGCGTTGCATTCTTTTGATGCCTTTTGAATGAAACCATATGTCTTAACTGAAAGAGTGAAATCATCTTCTTGATTTTACTGAAGATGATTTCACTGGCTATTTTGTTTTTCTTGTGAGTAAAGTAATTGCGTTTGTTTCTGCAGGCAATCAACGGATGGTGATTGTTGCAGCTAGTTCGAGTAACAACGCTTGTTAATCGCCGGTTAACAATACTGCTACTCGACATTTATAGTTTGTATTCTAAGAATGATTTTGGTTGATAGGAAGTAAAACCGTGAAAGCTCAAAGTTGAAAATATTAGTCAAGAATAATTTGTTGGTTTCTGATGTAGAAATATCAAAGAAGTTGGAAAACGAAAGTGTTATAACAAATTAGGAAATTCAGTCGGGATAGATTTTTTACTACTAAATTTCATTTGTAATTGATTAATTATCTTTACAAAAAGATACTGCTGATTTGTTTTTTTGCAATTCCTCTTATTTTGTTTCCAATATTAGTGAAATTTCTTCCTTTGTTATCGATTTTTCATGAGAAATCTTAATTTCTCTTTTATTATGTGATTATTGTACTTATTGTTATCTTATACTCCTTCCGTCCCAAAATATGCGTCTCATATTGACTATTCATATAATTTTAAGAGATATTTAACTAGAAAAATATAAAATTATTCTTAAAAAGTGATTGATAGATTTACTTTAATAGTTGTAAAAGAGTGGGACATACAAGGGTAAAAAAAGAAATATAAGTGTTGTTATTTGTTAATTTTTTTTAATAAGACATTTTGAATGAAATAATTTTAAAAATTAAAAGAGACATTTTGTGGAGGCAATAATAAAAATGTTATAGATACCGTAAGCCCAAGACTTATGGTTCAAGGTTACGACAACGGAAACGGAAGCAAAAATGTGTTTCCGGACGTGAATTCTTGTAGATATGGGAATGGTCTTGATGCCTTGGGAAGGTTCTATATGCAGAAGGTCCTCAAGGATTATACAAGGGATTCAGGATCTCGATATCGACGTCTGGACAGTCTAATGTGGTTTTTTGGACGTATTATTCTGTTGCACACAACCTCATTTTGGGTGGTTTTTGGTTGGCTCTCTTTGGAAAAGATGAGAGTGGTTTTAGGCCTGATACAAGGACCTTAGGTGCAGTCCCAGGGTTACGTGCAGCCATGGCTAGTGGCATTTCTGCTTTAATCACTATGCCACTCGACACCTTTAAGACCAGATTACAGGTTCTTGATTGAGAGGATGGGATACGAGAACCTATGACGGTATTCCTGACAGTAAGGAGTATGGACAGAGATGTGCTTCGACATCCATGTCTGCTGCAACCATGATCACTACATACGAGTTCTGGAAACAGATCCACCAAGAAACAAGATAGCAAAGCATTCTTAAGCTTAGAAACTAGAATACAAATTCTTGCATTTGAAGACAAGATTAAAACATACAGCAAGTTTCCCTTCCAATGGCAGAAAGAAAATGATTCTCAACCTGCTTATAAAAACATCTTTTTTTTTAATATCCTACACATACAAGCCATGATAGATTCCCTTGGTTAAAAGGATACATTGACTAAGAACATACTTGAGTACATCACCTAGTAGAGGGTTAGCAGTCCATGATGCTGGAATTCACAGGAAGAGCGGCTGAGCAGCCATCATCAAGGTCGTGCTCTCTTGTTGCTGCTGCACGATGGGCATTTGTACTGCTTAATATGCTCTGCCTTTGCCGGTGTAATCTTAACACACTTTCCATGGAACCATTTCTCGCAGATATCACAGCAAATCCAGAACTCATCACCCGCGTAATTCTCTCCGCAAGCCCCACATAATGTCTCTCCATGCTCCTCGTCATCTTCCTCCTCCATACCATCATCATCCTCGTCCTTCGATGGCACTGCCTTGGAGTATTTGGGCTGCGATTCAGAGCCTTGCTGCATTTTTTTCAAAGGGACAAAGAACATAAGGCCCAATTATTTTATTTCTCCCATTCTCTGCTATCACACAAGAAGAATGAAGTATGCAGAAAACAAAATGCTAACGAACTTAATTCAATCAGCTTTATGTACAGTTTAACTTGCTTCCACTAATAGGGATTTTTGTATGCCATAACAGAATATCATGTTTTAGCTCGGATCTCAACCCACCTTAACCCCATTTTTTTTTTGATAAAAGTTGGAGGACTCATTAAAAGCTCCCTTCGTATTCGTCCACATACTAAGAAGTATGTTAACGAACATTGGAAGGAAGAAAAGACTATCTCATAGTTTATTAACCCACCTTAACCCCATCAAACACAGATTAACATTCACAAAATATTCAAGCAAGAAAATTTACCGTACCTTAGAGTTTGATTTAGATTTGTTGCTGCTATGATTTGAAACCGACGATTTCTCCTTTGTCTGCTTCTTAGCTGCTCCCGTCACAACTTCAAATATTGTTGGAAGATCATTGATCATATTGAAAAGGCGTTTCCTGCACCCCAATAACCGGCATTGTATTGTTGAGGAAAAAAATCTTGTAGCCATATGCAAATTCCCAATTTAAGAATGCATACTCGGACTAAGCCTACTATTACTATTTACTGATACGTGTTGTATGCCCTTCATGCTGAAGCCTAGATTTATGGACCAGACAGATCATACCTTTGAATGGATGATAAGTTAACAACAAGGATTATGGACAAATAAACCAGTCGACAAACCAATAAATTTTCAAAGAAAGCATTATAAATTTTTAAATCATATACGGGGGGCTTCAAGCAGCAAGTACTAGCCAAATTACACTAGTTTTAATAAATGGACGAACCATGCAATATAAATATTTAAATCAGATACGGGGGGCTTCAAGCAGCAAGTAGCAAATACTAGCCAAATTAAACTAGTTTTAATAAATGGACGAACCATCAAAGAGAATCCCATTTACAAAAAAATAAGTTTTGTCAACCGGGTGAAATCAATAGCATCCAAAATTCCACGCGCAGTATAAAAACACTACAAGAGACCTGGTGGAACCAAAGCTTGTTTAGTATGCATGCCTACCATGCAATTTGGCTTTTACTAGCCAAATTATACGCCTAGAACATGTAAATAAAACCAAAACGGGAAACGACACTTGGGCGAGGATAGAAAATACCTATCAGCTTTATCAAACCCAAATCTAGCACCAAAATAGAAAGCCACAGAAAGTAACCATGCGTCGCTGTGTACAGCAACCAACGATAACCAGTCCTCCTGTTGCATTCCATCTCTAGCAAAGTTAATACCCAGTGCAGGCTCCGGAAGCTCTGGAGGCACCTCTTCAGCAGGTAGATTCACTTCCCACTGTTCACTGGGAAATCCATAAAGGCAAAGATTCTCCTTTTCTACAATCAAAATTTTAGAATGTGAGTTGATGTATTTCATGCATTTAACGACCCCAACAAGGTAGAACGAGTAAAAGCATGCTTGCGGCAACCACACTTATGGCATTCACATACATTACTGCACATCTAAGCTAAAATGACAATCTTTTTTTAACCGAATCAAACCCGTATATCAAATCAATAAGCATCAAAGAATGAGTAGTGTTAACTTTGCTAATCAATGGAGGGGGAAAAACCCAAATAAAGGAAGAACTTCACCAACCTCAAAGAAGAAAGAATATGAATTTATAGTTGTAAACACATAAACGTTCATATTATAAAATTCATCACACTTGCTACATACAGATCTTTTAAGTTGAACTAGTATTTTTCATCTTAAAAGCGAAAGTTCAACTTAAGTAGAGAGTGTTAACCCAATAATTAAATTTTTTCTCTTCAAAGCCTAAAGTTAAACAACAACAAAACGCTATAATCATTATTGGAGTTTGTGACCCGAAAAGCTATAATCATTATCTGAAGAGAAAAATGGCGGATTCGGAGGTACAGTTTTATTCAACTAAGATTAATGTGTCCGCACAACTATATATATCTAAGGTTCTAAGTTTTAGCGTATTACTCTTGTAATTTACAGCGACTATAGTGAAGTTCTTCTACTCTATTCGTGATTTTTCCTTTCATCATTATTCCTTTACGACTGTTTATTGGCTGTCATGCACTAAAGTTCACGTCAATCATACTGAACTTGAATCTACTTCAATAACAAGGTTTGAATATTCAATTCTTCAGATAAATCATTTGGTCCGGTGAATCAATTATCACCAAATCTGGGTAATAAAAGAACCCAACAGCTAGATTCACTATTAAAATGAATAAAGAACAAAGATCCAGTACCTGGATCGCACTGCTGGTAAAACTCTTCCACATCTGCAAGCACCACCACACCCGGAAATTATATAAAATAAAAGAATAAACTTCAAAGAATATGACAAGCAAGTAAGTGAAAAAAGAAGTGATTCTCCAAAAAAAATAAGAGAGAGAGAGAGAAATGCATTTACCAGTGGTGAGAGCTTTAATCATGCCAGCACGACGACCCTTGAAATCTCGAAAGACTTCTTCAACTGTGCGTGGGTTGTAAGAAGCACCGCCGTCCATGACCCACACTGGTTCTTCCCTTCCCCTTTTGATGGAGAGTCGGGATCCAGAAGCAGAGGGAGAGAGTAACAGAGAAAGGAAATGAAGGGAGAAGAAAAATATTGGGGCGAAATTCGGAAATAAAGAAAATTGGGATCTTCCTTTCCAATTAAGCGGATTTGATCAGAGAGGGAAGAGTCCGTCGCTCTGATTTTTGGCCCAATTTAGAAAGGAGAAAAACCCTAATTGTTTGGTTGACATAAATTTCTTAGAATTAAGTAGAATTGAAATTTAATTACACTATTTTTTCATGTTTGATTCAAGTTTTTTGAGAGAATTGGAATCCATCATGGCTTCAACTTTCCATTAAATGAGAGAAAGTGAATTTCATCAAAGAATGGATGAAATTTAATTCTTTGTTGGAGAGAATTGAAATTTGATCATACTACTCTCATCAATCTTTCGATAACTTATTCATGTATTGAATAAAAATATTTTTTTATTATTTCAGGTCGGGTCGGGTTTCTAATTTATATATTCGGGTCGGGTGAAACTTTATTTTGGTCGGGTCGGGTTTTTTAAGTGTGATATTCGGGTCGGGTCGAGTTCGGGTTTAGGGTGAAAAATACACGACCCAAAAATATATATAATTTTACCTTATATATTTAGGAATAATTACAATAATACCCCTCTATATATAATTTTTTTCAATTAAGTCACTGTTTTTATTGAATAAAAATATTTTTTTATTATTTTGGGTTGGGTCGGGTCAGATTTCTAATTCATATATTCGGGTCGGGTCGGGTGAAACTTTATTTTGGTCGGGTCGCGTCGGTTTTTTTTAAGTGTGATATTCGACTCGGGTCGGGTTTAGGGTGAA